AAGAGGATACGTAGGCAGTCTTTATGATGCAGCCGATTTGGTGAGTAGATACCGACGTTTGGGTGAGTGTTCGCACTCCCGTTTGGGTCTCGACTTGTTGTGGATTGAGTCTGTTGTTGTGGATCGTTTCACTTCGTACTGGATGCAACAAGTGAGGCATTTGGTTTGGTCGGTATCGGCTCAGTTTTGGGAAAACTTCGCCGAGGTGGAGAATTGTTGGATAGCGGATTCCTAATCTATTTTGGTAACATGAGGTTATTAGGATTCCTAATCTATTTTGGTAACATGAGGTTATTAGGATTCCTAATCTATTTTGGTAATAGGTTATTAGGATTCCTAATTTGATTTGGATTTTAGTTTAGAATTCCTAGTATGTTTATGATTTTAGGATTTCTATATATATGGAACAATTGGAAGAGAGAATTGGGAGAAGCAAATTGGGGATATTTGGAGCACAGAAAAGAGGTATTTTATGAGCTATTTGTTTAGGGTTTTGTTTGGAGAGATTAAGAGTTTTGTTGGTGAGATTAGTTTGTTCATTGGAGTGATTTGTAATCTCAATTTGTACTCTTCTTCTCTATTAGTAAAAACCCTATCCCCTTCTTGCCCCGTGGACGTAGGCAACTTGCCGAACCACGTTAAAGTTGGTGTTTTGTTTGTGCATTGATATTTAGTTCGTTTGGTTCTCTTGGATTGGCGTTTGGTTTGGTTCCTCGACACAGCTTTTGGCACAACAGATGGTTTGCCGTGCCTGTTCAAGTTGCATGCTTTTGCATTAGTATTCGGGTCTGACATTGCATTAGGTGTCGTCTCAAATACTTGTGTTTCTTACAGTTGACGGAATATTATGGTAAACCATTCAATTGGAAGGAATTTCAGATTGTCATGAAACATGTATGTTGCTAAAATTAACACCATATACAAATTTTCAACAGAATATAATCCACAAGGAAACCCTAGCCTTCTATGTCCTTACCATGTAAAGATTATCTGCTTGCCAATTCAATTCCCTTCGTCTGATTTTATGCTCATTTACCTTCTCTTGTTCATGCCTTGTAGAAACTTATCACCGTAATCAAGGTTTAATCTGTAAATATTGAATGCTTGTAATTGTTTTGTTTTTAGTAAAAAAATGCAGTATTCCTTACAATTGCGTTTTCAGGGATAAATTAGTGGGATTTAAAGAGTAAGATGATTTAATCTTACTAGTTTTTTGGTGTTTTTTCATGCAGGATTTTTCTGGGTAGCGTGACAAACTACTTAGTGTCAAATGCATCATGCCCTGTGACAGTCGTCAAGGACCCGAGCCTCAAGCACTGAAAAGGATCTCTGTTCTACTGATGCAGGGGCGATCAGCTTCAATCTATAGAGGGGGAGTTATTTTCTGTTGGAGGAGGAATTTTATGATGTGCGTGTACTCTTAAACATATGTAATATGTCTTGTGAGTAGACTAAATTATCTTGAAGCTCATTATATGTAACACGGATTAGCTCAGATTTGCAGTCGTTTGTGAGAATAAGTTTTTGAAGGATGCTTATTAGTTGATTTTCTGAAGTTTATTTGTTTTTCCCCCTCTTTTTTTTTTCCCTTTTGAGATTTATTAATATTTGTGTTAGCTGTTCCTACTTCCTGGTATCAACTGTTGCTCATTGAAATTTGTATTTGGAAATAGTTTTTCCCTGCTTTTTTCACTAATTTTCTTAATGAATAATGAATCTTCATTAATTAAAAGAAAATTCCAACATGATACGATGACTTATAAAATAGTTCATCTTTATTACTCAATATGTCCTTAAACCACATACGTTTAGAATCATTTTCTATTACATAGCATTTAGTTCTAAAATCCAAACCCACACGATGACTGAACTATCTTAAATTACACTCTCTTTAATCTCTAGTCATTAAAGAAAATTCCAACATGATACGATGACTTATAAAATAGTTCATCTTTATTACTCAATATGTCCTTAAACCACATACGTTTAGAATCATTTTCTATTACATAGCATTTAGTTCTAAAATCCAAACCCACACGATGACCGAACTATCTTAACACTCTCTTCAATCTCTAGTCTTTTTCCGCTTGTTCCTTGAAGGTGATGCTCATTTTAAGAATCCCTCTTTTAATGTGACTAGCAAGGACAGCCTCGTAGCTCATTTGGTAAAAAAAGCTGTCACCTCATACACAGTAATTTATGAGTATAATATATATATATATAATATATATATATATAATATATATATATATATATATATAGTATATATATGTATTAATAGAGGAAGATAGAAGAGAGAGAGAGTAGAGAGAGACGATAAAATCGGCTATCAAGCTTAAGTTTGATGCCCCACAAACTTTCGTACGCCCACTTATTTACTTAATATAAAAATCTTTTTTATATCAATGCAATGATCCCCTAGGCAATATGATTGGGCTAAAAAGTTTGGTAAGAACGACTTTTTTTGCTATCCACTTAATGTTGACACAAGTTCTCTCTCTCTCTCTCTCTCTGCTCTGCTATATATATATATATATATATTATATATATAATATGATATATATATATTATAGATATATATATATATATTATATATTATATATATATAGAGAGAGAGAGAGAAGAAGAGAGAATATATGAGTATGCTTTGGTAACGAAAGCAGGCAAATTTTTGGTGCTTGTTATAGGTCGGAGATGTTATATTCCACTTCCACTCATATAAAACGGGGTCCACATTTAGCAATGAGTTAGAGAGAGCTTGAGAATTAAAATGAGTGGTGATGAAGAATATGACACCTTACTACGCTAAGGCACAAAAATTGTGTGTTTGGTACCACACATACCATTTTTGCTCGTGTGTGTGTTGTGTGTGTATGTGGTTTGTTGTGTGTGTGTGTGTGTGTGTATAATATATATATATATATATATATATATATATATATATATATATATATATATATATATATATATAATATATATATATATGATATATATAATAGAAAAATGTAGGCACTAGTAGAAAAAACTCGATATGAATCTAGACGGAAGCAGACCTAGCGAGAAAAATTTGCGGTCTTAGGTTGAGATCAAACTAGAAGGAATATTTTCGTCTAGGTTGGATCCGTCTAGATTGGGTCAGAAACTAGACGAAAATTCCGTGCTAGTTTGAAAATAAGACGGAAAATGCAAACCTAAGACGGAATTTCCGTAGCTAGGTGACAATCACAACCTACGATGGAATTCCGTCTAGGTGCGCTAAGCATACGCCTTTCTCTAGCTCTACCCACCCCCTCTCCCCCTTCCCCAACCCCCCCGCGCACCGGCGACCTCCTGCCACGGCCTGAACCCCCCCTTACTCCCCTCCCGACCCCCCTACCGACCCTTACGCCCCTCTTTCTCAGGCAGCCTCCCTCCCCCCTTTTCGACCACACCCCAGCCCCTCCCCCCTTCTTCCCTCCCTCCTTCCCATCCCCCCTCGTCACGCCCCCCCCCGCTCGCTCCTATTCCGACTACCCCTCCCACCCCCCTTCCGACCACCCCCTCCCCCTCTTCCGACCACGCTCCCCTGCCCCCCTCGGCAGCGCCCCCCCCTCTTCCGACCGCCTCCCTCCCCCGCTCCCTCCCGTCCCTTCCTCCTTCCCCCCCCCTCCGCCTCCGCCCTCGCGCGCCCCCTCATCCGTGTCCGCCCTCCCCCTCGGATCAGCCCCTCCCTTCGGCAGCCCCCTCGCTGGCCCTCCCGACTACCGCCCACCACCCCTCCCCTTCCCTCCCCTACCCGACTACCCGACCCCCTCCCCTTCCTCCCTCTCCCGACTACCCCTCACCCCCTCCCCTTCCCTCCCTCTCCCCCTCCCCTCTCGGCAGCCCTTCCAATCGGCGTGTCTGTTGTTTCATCTGCTTAAAATGTATGATTTTTCTACTGAGTTTTAGAATTTTTAATTTTTTTATTATTTATTGTTGAATTTAGTTTAAAAACCCTAATTTATGATAAAAATAAACGAGTTTAATTTTGAAAACCCTAACTTAACTACATGTTAATTCATTTGAACAACACCAGTAATCATATTTTTTTTAAACACTTATAAACCCTAACTCATTTAAGTTTCATTCGTGCTAAAAGTATGTGTGATTATTTAAGTTTGTGATGTGAAAATATGTGAAATATTTTTTTTAAAAATAGAGTGATATATAACACATTATAAAATTTTATAATGTGTTATAATCCAATTTAGGTGAATAAAAAAATAACGTTATTTGGACTTATAATATATGATATACGACTCAGATTTGGGTAGGAGACGAAGTTTTCTCCCAAAAATGAGCGTTTATTTTATATTATAGGAATAAAAAATTGGTACTGAAATTCGTAATTATTGGATCTGTCCTTCTCGGATGGGTTAGGAATATAGTTGTGTATACATCAAACTTTGTATATTTTCATTCTTGAAAGTTTTGGCAGCACCGATAATTAACAAACTAGACGGAATTCTTTATTCCGTCTAGGTTGACTTCCGTCTAGGTTGATCAACCTAGACGGAATTCCGTCTAGTTTGATTCAATCTAGACAGAAGCAAAATAAACCATCCAAACTAGACGGAATTCCGTCTAGTTGAACTAATCTAGACGGAATTTGAATCAACCTAGACGGAAATTGGTACCAAACACAAAATTTGTGCTTGTTAGTGAGATGTCACATTCCCATCTACTCCCCAACACAAGTGATTGTGGTCCCACATTTGAATGAATGAAATGATAATTTGTCACCTCACTACAAAGCATAAAAATTTATGCTTCGTACCTCACGGGAGAAATAAGACTTAAATAGAAATTTGGGGGGAGAAAAACAACAGTTGGAAATTATATCCTATCCGACATTATTAGAGAGAGAGAGAGTCCAAATCAGGCCCACCGAGCAGGCGCACGATTGTGAATTAGGGGCCCAGTTTAAAATTGGCTCTGAAACAAGCGAGGCGCTGAAATTACTTTCCCTCCCAAAACAAAGCCTAAAATCCCTTCAGTACTAATTTTTGATAAAATCCCGCCCATTTTCCCCCAGTTTACACGACGAGATCGCCGACGATCCCAATCAAGGAGGAGGAGGATGTATGGGAGGAGAGCATCGAAGCTGTTGAAAGAAGCAGCCGCCTCCGAGAAAGGCCAGCTCACCGCCTTCAATGTAAAGCATCTCCTCCCTCCCTTCATTTTCTAGGGTTTCAAATTCCCCTTTGTTTTTTAATTATCGGTGTCAATTGATGAAGTCGAGAGCTAAAAAATTTCAGTTGGTCTCTGATTTCTT